TGCAGTGGCTAGCCACTCGAGGGCTTGGCGCCATGGGTGAACCGGCAGCAGAGAGTGTCAAAGGAGGCACCATCGGGGGGATGATGATCATCTTGAACCACCTCCATTTCCACTTTGTTCAGAAGCAGATCATCGATGGATGTGGCTGGTATGGGGTGGTGTGGTCTTTTGATAACTGTGAAATCATCCTGGTCTTCGCCTATTTCAAGTGTGGGGAAGGTTTGCAAGGACCAACCAACTCACAGTTGTGGGCGGGCCTTTTGTCCTTTGTCACCAGTGTGCACAAACCGGTGATAGTTGCAGGCGATTTCAACCTGGATCCAGGTGCTTTCATGACCACCACTATGGCACAGGTCATGCAGATGCAGGCCCTAGCAACTGGAGAGGCCACATGCAACACTGGCAGTGAGATAGACTGGGCATTGGTCTCAACCTCCATGTTTGCTGATGTCGCGGTGAAGTCAAACTGGATTGTTCCTTTCAAACCGCATGCTGCAGTTCAAGATAGCCGGGCACTTCCCCGAATTGACTGTCAGACAGCTAAACAAGTTTGGCCCTGCGCCGCAGCTTCGGAATCCAGCTAAAGAGTGGCATCAGATTGAGGAGCAAGACACCACGGTGCAATGGCTCAACAGACAGACTGACCCTCTCACTCAGCACACGGGCAACCTTTGCAGCCGCATTGAGCGCTTTGTGCTTCAACTGACTCTTCAGTTTGTCCAAAGGCCTTTGAATGATGCAAGCAAACCCTGGCTCTGGAAGGGAGGTAGCCTAGCCTTCTGGGGACAGATTGAAGTACGTCTTCAACAGCTTGTTCATTTGCCCAGCCGAGAACCTCGTCACCAAGCTCAACTCCATAAACTGGGTTGGCGCATTGAGGCACACTGGCGCCCGGACTCCAAAATCAAGCGTGAAGGGTTCAAAAACCTGTTTGAGATGCTTTGGTACAACCACAGTGCAGACCACATCTATGTGTTGCTCAATGAGGTCAAAAACCAAAGAGAGCTACATCAGGCCACTAGTGCTCAGATCGAGACCGAAGAATACCGGCAGTGGCTAGCACAAGCAACTCAGAAGGGTTACAGAGGGCTTTTTCGAACACTGAAGCGAGATGAACTCCCGTACACGCGGCCTTTCCAGCACCTACCGAGGCTTCAACGCATGCCCCACAGGGTTGAGCAATGGGGAAGCATTTGGCAAATACAAGATACTCAAGTTCTGATTGGTTGCCTGGAAAACCTCATCCAAAAAGGACAACAAGAGGGCAAAGCATTGCCACATCTCAGTGACGGCCACATCTGGCGCACCATCAAGACCCTCAGCCTGAAGGCGGCTGGACTTGACGGAATTGGCTTTGATTTCCTCAAAGCGTTGCCATATGCAGCAATGAAGGATTTGCGTGATCTTTTCCAAACCATTGAAGAGCAGGCCATGATCCCAAATCAATGGAAGACCTCATTGATTGCTTTGCTGCCAAAGTCAGCAATCATAGAGAGGCCAATAGCATTGGTAGCAACTCTCTACAGGCTATGGTGCCGGGTCCGCAATGATCAAACCAAACGCTGGTCCAGCAACATACAGCATGAATACCCATGGGAGAGAGCAGTCCCTGGAACTGAGTGTTTGCAAGTGGCCCTCAAACGTTCCTTTATGACGGAATACCATGCAGCGCACAACAGAACGATCATCTCTGTCTTACTAGACATGTCAAAATTCTATGACAGAATTGACTTGATCAAGCTGGCTGAACGGTGGCTCGACTCCAGCTACCCTGCAACCCATGCAGCACTGGCGATACAAGTCTATAGTGGGCAGAGGATCCTTGAAGCTGAAGGAGAGGCATCACAGCCTTTGTGGGCGACCCATGGCATTTTGGCAGGTGACCCTCAGGCACCTTTGGCAGCAAAGGTATACCTCCAAAGAGCGCTCAAGGAATTCCACAAAAAGTACCCTCAGCTGCACTCCGACCTATGGATCGACGACTTCAGTTTTGATGTTGTTGACAGGAACCCTCACAACGCAGCAAGAATAGCAATACAAGCATATGAGTTTGTCAAAAAAGAGTTGGAGACAGACAACCTCAAGGTTTCCGCTCAGAAGACCGGGTTCATTGTCTCAAATGCCAGTGCCAAAAGGATCCTTCAAGATCAGCTTCATGAAGGTGGCCCTAAAGTGCACGACGTGATGAGGGACCTCGGCATAGACTGCACAGCAGGGAGGCTCAGAAGGCTTCAATCCATCAAAGGACGCCGAACAAAAGCAGCGCGAAAATCCCTGAAGTTGAACACCTTGAAGATTCCCAATCAAGCCATACGCTTGAAGCTGTACAAAGGGAGCACCCTCTCCGGCATCAACTGGGGGCACAAGGCTATGGGGCTGGCTCCTCAAGTCCGCAAGAAGCTCCGAGCAACGATGTGCAGGCAGATGGGAATGCACAGAACAGGGAACGCTGACATCGTGTTCAGCATGCAACCTCGGCATCGTGATCCAGACTATGGGGCCTTCGCAGATCAGGTCCGGCTTTACAGACGATTCTATGGGAATTGGCCTGAAGCCTTGGGCAAAGATCTGGCCAGAGCTTGGCGTGTTCATCGAGCCAAACTCCAAGAGGCCAAGTATCCCTGGCAGCATGCCAAAGGTCCAGTCGGAGCCCTACAATGTTACCTTGTGGAAAGAGGCTGGAGCACTGACAAACATGATGAATGGACCAAACCTGCTCCAAATGGTGAGCCTGAGTTCAAGCTGAACATGCATGCTGACTGGTTTTTCCTGAAGCAAGAGCTGGAACGGGCGCACAAATGGGAGACGGTCATGAAGCTCAACCAAAGGCAGCATTTGCAAGAAGTTCAGATGCCCTTAGACTGGTTGCCATGGCGAAGACTCTCCAGGCAGCTCAACAAGATGCAGAACATTGCCCTGCAGACGTGGCGTCAGGGCTCCATTTTCACCAAGTGCGCTGATGGTGAGGCATCCAGCCAACTCATGTGCCCTCACTGCAAACAAGCAGCCGCCATTCTGCACCTTCTATGATTGTGCCCGGAGACTCAGAAGGCTTTCCCTCCTCTTGAAGCCGCTGACAAGCAAGAAATTGAGCAGGGCATAAACCTCAACTTTTGGTTGCAGGGACTTTTGCAGTTGCCCAACTACCAGTTGTCCACAGACAGGTGGAGCGGCGGTCCAGTCATGGGGATCCGGGACAATTCATGATGAGGTCAAACTGCAAGGCCCTGAAGTAGTGACCATAGGCCTCAGCCTGACCAGCAGTGACCCTCGTCTGAAACACTACGTTGTGGCCATTGTGCACCATACTTTGATTGACGGGCAGCTTTACCGCAAAGGTGCGGTCGCAACAATACTACCAGGCCGGCAGTCACTTGAAAGAGCATGGTTCTACGGGCTTCGTATGATAGCCCACTATGTGGATTTGCAGCTGCAGATCAAGGTGCAGGTGCTCTCGACGAGAGCCTGGGAGGCGTGGGTGCATGGAAAGCACCAAGAGAGCTTTTTCGATCTCAATGAGCTCATCACGCATGATCAAAGATGCAGGATTCGACCTCTCAGCCTGACTCAGAAGCAGGTCAATGACATGCCCTGTGCATACACATTGAAAGCAAGACTTCAAGACGCCAACAAGGTAGCCCGAGAGATTGCTTTGTCCATCAAACCAGTAGAGCTTGAGGCAGAATTGAAGCTGACGGATCGTCGCTATGTCCGGATAGCTCACCTTGCAATCAAGAGGATTAGACATTTGTTGGAAGAGAAGGACCATTTTCTTCACCAAGCCAGACAAACTGGGAAGGAAAATCGCAAGAAGGCTAGAGACACCAAGGCCCAACTACTCCTGGACATTGGCAACCACCAAGGTCCAAGGCAGCATCAATGGGCCCCGAAGCAACGAGGTCTCCAGTGCTTGAAATGTCAGAAGTACATCACTAAGCATTACAAGATCGAAGCGCTTCAGAAGGTCCAGACAGAAGAATGCCCGGCCGCCCAAGCTAGCATAGTGAAAGGGGGAGAAGCAAATAGTCAGCCAACGAAGGCTGAACTTTTGAAGCAGCTTGCAAATGGCAGTTTCCCAGGCATGTCAGACCACACTTTTGAGCTCCAGGCTCACTATGTGGTGTGCAGAAAGTGTCACTGCCGAGTGCTCCGAAACTCTGCTCGAGAAAAGTTGGAGAGCCTGGCACGAGCGCCGTGTTGGGACCAAGCTTGGGAACCCGAGCAGTGGAGACGGCACAAGAGCCACAAAATGTGGCGTGTTGGGGCAAAGCTTTTTTGCCATGAGTGCAAGTCGCACGCGGTTCACACCAAAGGTGGATTTGAGCCTAGCAAGGCGCTTGGCAGGGCATGTGAAAAGGCCACAACATCCACGCTGCCGTCCCTGTTCCGCAGCCAAAACGGCTAGGAACCATGCAGTCGCAAAAGAGACGAGAAAAATATAAGTAATGAATGTTAAATTGTACCAACAGGATCGTCGTGGGTATTGTACGACAATCATACAGGGTGACAGTACTGGGAACAGGCATACTTGCCCTGACCGTTTGAAGAGCAGACGGGTGAAGTGGTTGAACATATCATATTGATATAACATTGCATCATATCACACATTTTCGTGTGCGACCCTGTTCTTTTAGGTTCCGACTTTGATTCTTATGTGTGTTTATGCTTCTTAGGTGCTGCTGCCATAAGGGCGGCAATGACTGGCAACATGGAAGGTTTGCGAAGCGACTGCAAGCGCTGGGGGCTGAGTATTGGAGCTTGCAAACCTAGAGACCCCCGCTGCTGCATAAAGTTCATGTCTTTAGCGTCACAGCTGTGTAGTGAATGGAGGTTGTGGAGGAAGGGCCTTTCGTATTTTTCCTTTATTTTATTTTCAGAAATTGCGTATGGCCGCTATAGGCTATAGCTTATACCCGAACTCACATGCTGCCACCTGGTGGGATCCGTCGTGTACTTCAGGGCCACAAGTCTCCTTGAAGACCAAATCACTCGTGCGAGTGATGATCGTACTGGCAGAGAACCAGAAGCAAGCGAAGAAAGCCAGAGTGACTTGGGCTTCAGCGTTCTCAGCCAAAACCAAAAACTGCGCGTTTGTTTTTATATATTTATTTCTCCATGTTGCACATTCTTGCCAACAGGCTTAGTGGCTTAGTGGGCAAAAGGTGAAACATGTTGAAACTCAGAGGTCGGTTGATGGTGCTCGCTTTTCTAGAGTAGCGTTTGGCAATACATGTCCATGCATCTCAAACGGTTTACTAATATTGATGATAGCCTAGCATGACCTTGTTGGGCATTTGGGTGGCTGCGCTCAGAGTGTCAATTGTGTGACTGGGTACGTTGCACAGGCCAATCTCCAGCCCTTCCCACGCGTCGCGCGACGTCGCACACGTGCAGCGCCACGTGGCAGGAATGGATCAAGTCTGAAAGCCTCTTGGGGAAGACCATCGAGTTTCGTGTGGTTTTGAATACTGACCTTGGGAGTGAGCTTCGGGCTTTGTACCTGCAAGGCTTCAAAAGCACATGATGTTGGCAGCAAACCAGCTGAAGATGTTGAGGGGCCGGATGTGCCCGGAAGAGTGTCAGAAAAACGTAGATTAGATATTGTGATACTGAAGTTGTCAGTTTCCCCTGCATAACAATTGCTGCAGCAGCTGGCGGTATTCCTTGATTGAAGACCTTTGGCTTTCCCAAGGCACTAAACAATTTTGGGCTGAAAATTGCCAGCCGAGTCAACTTCCAGCGAATCTGACGTACGGGCTAGGGGTTAACTTCACGTGATCAACGTGTTTTGGAATGTTTGGCTTTGATATCCCACCAAAGCTACCAGTTCGACATGGAGAGCTCAGCCTTAACTTTGCTGGAAGTTGTTGCTCTCAGTCAAATGTCATGGCTGCAGAGAAAAATCTCTGGCAGCTTTTCATGGACCTTGTGGACCTTCTGTATGTTTCAAGCAACAAACAACTTTATTGAGAAGAATCTTACAAAAGAGGAACATGAAACACTTTGTCTTGGGCCGGAACCAACATGTAAGCTGTTGGAGGAATCTGGCTTAAAGGCACACTCAACGATGCTTCTTGATGGCCTGTGGTTGCTCCAAGAGCTTTGCCATTTGTTTTTGGCATCCATCGTTTGTGACTCTCCACATACTAGGGGCATATCTTTGATGTAAAAGAGCCTCGTTGACACCAGCGTCGTTGATTCTGCATCATTTGGCTGAATGAGCAGCTTGGCGTCTCCATCAACGCAGACAGCGTTCGAAAAAGAAACCATTTCTACGTTGGCGTTGATGTCACTGCGGATATTTAAAGTTCATTGCTATCCAACAATTGTGACGGGATCTTTTTGTTCCGACATGTTTGAGAGATTTTGGAACACAATCTATTTGGTAGGTTCGAGGCCATCGCTAGTAGGTTGGAATACAATGAAGACAGGAAAAACTTTGATTTTCTGACTGCCCCCAGCTCTTGTCAGTGGACTCCCAGGACCCACCGAGGGGTCCATGCTTGCCACAGAGGCAGCACTGTGCGAAGTGAAGAAATGCAACCGACACCATTGATGTGCCTTTGACTTGTTTCTTGAGACAAGGAATCGATAGATATTTCTTCCATTAACCCCAGAGGTCCTAGCAGCCAGCTAGCAGTCCTTTCTCAAGACAGACTGTCCTAGATTCCAGAGCGACTGTTCAAGCAGTGTGCCTTCATGTCCAGCTTTCATCTCCGAACCGCGAGATTCCACTGCTGCTTCAATCGGGCACCTTTGCTCCACCTACTGGAAGACGTGTCCAAGACCCTCTAGCTCATCCAACCTGCCGCTTCAAGGGGGCACCTCTCTCGTATACGTTGTAATTATACCATACCCAGAATTGCATAGAATTGCAACAATTACAGTTTTGCTGTGGTGACTCATGCCTCTGCCGTCCAAGCTACCTACAAGGGGCCTTGATTCATTGTTGGTCAGCAACCAAACGACCTATATCAGAAGGGGGCAGCCTTAGGAATAAAATTGAAGGGGGGTACTGAGTCTCAAAGTAATTGCCGTCAATTAATTGCCGACATTGCCGACATAGGATGTTGGGGGGGGACCCCAAAATTTGTCGGCATGAGAAAATGCATGGTCTGACAGCAGAGAGGTAAACACTCCCCACCAAAAATAAATACTAATTTCAATCAATTGTGAGTGGGGGGGAGGGAAAACAACTTATTGGAAGAAGGTGGAGAGGTAAGGTACCTATGAATTAATTTTAAGGATGGTAAAACAAATGAAGAGAAGAATTGATGGTGTGGAGAAGATGAAAGAAACAGAGGGAAACAAGGAATACTGCTTTGTTTGCCCAAGGCTTTTTAAATGCTCCTGCTGTTTTGCTCAAAGAAGGACATTCAATGAAATGAAATGAAACACATAGCAAAGGATTCAAACAGAAAGAAACAATGGAAAGAAGAAGAAAGAACATTGACTAGGAAAGAAGAAGCTTGCTGGAGGAAAAAACAAGCGCCATCAAATGCATTCAATTTCTGTCAAACATTGTGCAATTAATGCTTGTGTGGTTGAGTGCTTGATCACCCCAACAATTACTTAACTCGAGGCCCCTTAATTAATTTCCAGATCCAGCTACGAACCATCATAAACACTCCCCTTCATTGCCAATTTACTTGCCACGTAAAAAATCAATTTACACTGGTCTAGTCTCAATTTAATTAACTCAAAAGGCATGCAAATTAAAAAAAAAAGATTTTGGTGCAGACCTAGTCCCTCCCGTAAGGCAGGGCGCATTATATCAGTATTTTCAAGAAGGACCATTTTGGGGAGCGTTCGCTTGAAGCAGTGCACTGTAGGAGACAGCACGTGGCAGACCGGTCGATGTCAGGCCGAATCAGAGCATAGCACTGTTGACACCTGGCAGTGGGCTGATGACGAGGCGAAGGAATGTCTTTTTAGTTCTCCATTTCTGGGCATCGCTACTAGGAGCAAGGACGCTACTAGGGGCTCCTGGCATCGCTACTAGGAACAAACAGCTACTAGTAGATGTGTTTGTACACAGGTTCCAGACGAGCAGCTGCTGGAGCCGCCCAGGCGGGCTTCCAAGAGCTGATCCAACGGCTAGCATGAAGACACTGAATATTTGGTAGAAACCGAAGATGCTGCGAATTACTCTCTTCCAATACGAGATATCTCATTCTGCCAGGATCCCACAGCGCTTCAATCTCTCTCTCCTCCGTGATAGAAAGCAGGTCTGACTGTTTGCTTGCCATTGCCGTTCGAATAACATTTGTTGCCAAAGCCAGCAGGAGTTCTCTCCGGACTTGCAATCTGGACTGCCGGAGGTTTGCGATGATGGATTGAAATTAGGAAGGGAGTGCGGCCGATGGAACAGCAAGACTTGCGCTTGTCAACCTGTGAGTGCCTGCGAGTGCGACTGACATATTTTTGAGGAGATATCCTTCCGACCAGGGCTTTCCTTTGGTCTTAAGGCGCATACCCTCTTAAGACGTGTCATGCACCGGAGATGCAGGTCCCGGACGTGCTTTGGGAGCTCGAAGTTCCAGATGAGGACAACAATCAATAGTCCTTTCATAGACTGCAGATGTTCATTTGTGGGAGCTCTTCACTCGTCAAACAGCGCAAGCAGCCACTTTGAAACAGGAGACTTGCTTTGAAAGCTTTCCGCACACATGCCCAATGCCGCATGCTTGGCTCCACACAATAGAGTCTAAGTCTCTAAGTCTAGGATTGAGATTCGAGTTCAAGCAAGTTCGGCAGCTGTGGTGGAATCGCAGCTTTGCTGCCTGCGTGCAAAGCTAAACCTGACACGATCGAGGCCACAGGTCAGAAAGATGGGGACAGTTCGCGAAGAAATGGTGATAGCTCAGGCCAATGATTTGTATCACTAACATTATTTTGCTTTTGATTGTTTAGTGTGTGCGTCAGGAGTGCAAGCCTTTGAAGGTGATTGCGGGGAGGACTCAATGCTGCAGCCTAATGTACTTCATACGTCTGCATACCGCCCTGTTGCAATTGTTCAGCCCTTGGCTTTTGTAGGACGCCAAAGATGTGCCATGATGATGCCGCACAAGTCACATCCTTTGCAGACAAGGCGATATGTTTTGCTTGAGAACAAGAACTCAGTAGTAATATATATATAGGATCCAATAGGCAACCGTGCAATATCGTGTAACTAACGGCAACAGGTCGCGGACTTGATGGAACGGGTCTCGAACCAACGTCCACATGAGCTCGATGGTGCGCATGTGTAAGAACCTTTCATGAGTAGTGAAAAGCACATGACAGCTAGTGGAAGTGAGATTGAAGGCTGCGCCGGTTTGTGCATCATTTGAACTACTGTATGTATCTTGTTTTTTGAAGTGTGGATGTGGGCAATCGATGAGCGATTGGTGCTTGAGTCAGGTACCATACACCCAACTCCACGTTCGCCGCCAGTCCTGGGGAGGCTTACCAAATCGGAGGCCGGCTTTATGAGGCAAACTTTGCGAGCACAAGCACGGCCTGCGCAAAGCGAGCAGTTGTTACAAGATGTATAGTAGTGACACCAGAGAACACCATGCGGAGCAGACAACTAATAATAGTCAACATTGAACATACGTGGACCTATTTCATAATTAAATCATGCTCTATATTATTTGTGCGTTCCAGAAAGCATCACAGACAAGCGCGGTGTGCAACCTGACTTCGCCCAAGCCCGACACCAAACACATTCAGCTCTTGCAAATCTTTCAGGCGGGAACCACCTTCGAGGATGTCAGCATCCCTTTGCTGAAGAATGACATACACTCACAGGCAGAATCCAACTCCAGCAACATGGTAGGCAGAGGATAGCAGACAGCTGATTAGCATTGAGCACGTTTCCTCGTTGCTACCTTTGACGCTTCGAGATATTTGTTATTGACACTTGTTGGCATCGTTTTGCAGGTTTGTTTCGTAGCCAACGCACCAAACAAAAAAGAAAGAGTCTGAACTGATACGCTAGGCCAAAGAAGACGTTATGGCGCGCTTGCCTGGTGAGGCAAGAGTCGAGTAATCCCAGGTCCATTTTCCAGTGGGTCCTCCTTTTGCGTTGATCCCCCACGTTGGCAAAAACTGGCGAGGAACTTGGGAACCATCAGAATGGTGTTTTTGCCATCTGCCGGACATGACATGAGAATTTGGAGCGTCGATTCGCGCGAGGAAGTACAGCCCGGAAGCAAAGCTGCTGCCGCGGAGGATGGGTTTTTTGGAGAGGCTGGGCTCAGTGCATGCAGTGTTTCTGAAGAGGCTGGCGTATTGTGTGAGGTGCCTTCGGTCTATGATGTGCTTCGAAATCAGTTTGCAGACATCAACCGCGAGAACCAGAGGCCTCTCAGGGGGAGAGTGCCCAACGATTCAGACTCCATGCTGACCTTCTAAATCAGCATGAAGACCTTCGCTTTTTTTCTTCGCCTTCGGCGGACACAGACACATCAGATGCCAGGGTTTTCTCGGAAAGGTATGTGACAGTCACGGACTTTATGCAGTTTGTGGAATGGCGAGCTCGGCAGTGTGGTGGGGCCTGGCTGCCCGGCTTTGGCGATGTGTGCGTCATTTTTTGGGATGACTAGCGTGACATCTTTGTTGCTGCAGAGGCTCATTAAAGCCAAGGTTGGCCAGAGAATGCTATGCCGCCATGGCTGTTTCTACAACGCACACCCACATAAGATTATGCATTTATACACTCTAAAGGGACTGGTCGTCTATATGCAAATCTTGCTGGGCCTTTGGCTTTCCTGTTGCGATGCGACCCAAAGCAAGCAAAACGATCAAATTCCGTTGCCACTTTGGGCGCCTTGGCCATTGTCAGGTGCCAGCAGAAAGTGAGCACCTTCTGCAAGAGACGGCAAAACGCAGCGACCTAACCTTTGTCATGTGCAAAACCCAAATCTGGGCTGTTCGACGCGTGTGGTCTAGGCATGGCTTGCTTTCCATGCTTGAGGCTGCTTTCAACAAGCCTCTGTGCGCAGGGAGGGCATTCGGTCAGAGGCGGGCCCTAATTTGCAACGAGCAGCGTCATCCAGTCAATAGCAAAGCCCTCCAACCGAATAGCAATGGCCTCCCTCCCCTCAGAAAGACAGCCATCAGGGCGCTCTTCCTGCCAGGATTGGCTTCACTTTGGGCTCCTGTCCACCACTTCTCCATGGCACCTGAACAGGAGAAAGCCATATCATGTGCCATCGAAGAATGTTTCAGCGTTGCCGCTCTAACTACGAAGAACGAGTTTTAGATCAGACTTGAACTGAAAACTGAACAAACAACTATGATAAAGTATGGAATGACGCCGCTGACCGATAGATTTCTATCCCCTTGCAATTTCTCTGGCCCAAGCTGACCGTTTTGACTCAGCTTCTGCCCTGAGTGATACTCACCCTAAGCACCGTCAGAAATGTCAGGATATCGCCAGGATCGTGAAATCTCAGGGCATACGGCAAGGAACCCACGCCAGCCTGAGGTGAAAACCTCAATGCGTTCAGCTTTGGTGACAGGCCCCGCTGGCGCACGACGCCGGAACCTGGAAAAGAGCGAAGTCACAGCCTTCATGCGTGAAATTGGACTGCCACAATATGCCGAGATTCTGCGTGACCATGGGTTTGAGGACATGGAAACACTCCTTGGTATTGAGGAGGAACACATGCGGGATATCGGCATGCCAGCAGGCCACATTGTGAAGATGAAACGCCATTTGAGAGACTGCCCCCCAACTGTCGACTTCTGTGGGCGCAATGACTCCAGTTCAGGTCGCAACCATTGCACGACCTCTCCAAAGCAAGGTCTTTGCGCCTGGTGGGTCGCAGATGACAGCAGTTCAGATGAGTTGGCAGCAAGTGAAACAACTGGGTACCGATGTGGTTGGCGGGCTCTTCTACAAGAAGTTCTTCATACTTGAACCTTCGGCAAAGGCATTGTTCCCAATGAGCATGCGATTGCGATACAAGGACTGGGACACTGATGAGGAGGAGGGAGAAGATCCCTCCAATTCTCCAGCTCTCCGAAAGCTTTGGGCAAAGTTCATCACTGTGGTGGGCAGTGCAGTGGCTGGAATCCAAGATACGGCCAAATTGGTTCCAATGCTGCAGCAACTTGGCATGCGTCATGTTGGATATGGTTTAAAGCCAGAATATTTTGACCTTGCTGGCAAAGTCCTCATTGAAGTGCTTGCTGAGTGGCTGGGTGAAAGCTTCACGAAGGAAGTGGAGAATGCATGGGTCATGGTCTCTGGCTTCATGGTTGCAACAATGTATGGCGGTTATATGGCAGCAGCAGCTGACATCAAGGCCAAAGAGAAGCAGATATTTACTTCAACTGCTTTGAAGGACTATTCACCTCCGGCGTCAACTGCTGGCAGCGAATTCGAGACCAAAACATCTCGCCTGGTGACTCCGTCGGATGATGATGTGAAAGACACGGAACACCCATCTGATCACGATCAGGTTTCCTTCCGCCCAGAACTTAGCTTTGAGGTCCCAACACTCCCACGAGAGATGTGAGGCCATCCAAAGCTTAAGCCACTTGGTAGCGCTGCATGCTGGTAGGTGTGGACTACCCAGGTGCGTCAGCACTGACAATTCCAAAGTCCAAACATCAGCTGACGTGCTTCGTTTTCCAGCTTCAGTGGCAGAATGCGCTTACAGCACATACGCATGCCTCACTTACTTTTCGAGGCATGGGTCAATCGCGCATCCTTTATTTTGCCTAGGCATGTTTCAAGTGCTCAGGCTGCACAATGTGGCGGGCCTGCTCACTTTTGTAAAGGAACAAGAGATGAATTTTACGTAGAGTTCTTGCGAGAGAACAGATTTGGTGATAGCATTTGTGACTCATACTGTTATTTCAATACACAGATGGTCTCGGTTTAAGCGGAGGTGCTTCTGCCCATGGCGGACTCATTGACAGAAACACCACAAGCAAATCACATGACAGGCGCGTACGTCGAGAATTGGTAATCCCGACCTGTTTCATGAAAAAAAGAGAGAACGGGATCTTCAAAATTTCAACGTCTTTTTGCCTCAGCAGGCAGGGGGCAAGAATATCACATGATTTTTGTATTAGGTTGGGGGCCATTGCTATTAGGTTGGTGACCATTGCTAAAATACAACTCTCCAAACGGGTTGGATGGTTGGATTCTCCCAGATGAATTAAGGAAATACCTGATTTCTGTTGGATTGCGGCAGCCATTCTGTTGCCTTTTTTGATCAGTATCACCTACCCCATGGTAGCATTTGAACGCTCAAAGAAGCGGTTGCAATCAACATGACCATGTTGCAGTAACAATGACGCTACTAGCAGCTCCTGGCATCGCTACTAGGAGCAAGGACGCTACTAGGGGCTCCTGGCCTTACTACTAGGAGCAAGAAGCTACTAGTAACAAGGACTTGCAGATGTTGCTTCACCAGGATATAGGTCACGAGTCAGATGCATAAAGCTTGGAGAGCTTGGACATCTTGATGCCAGTCCTTCCGGTGCTTCTGCAATTTGTCCTTGGCTTCTATGTGGCTGCAAAGGATCCAGGCCATGAGGAAACCCGCCAAGGCAGCTGCTTCAATCCTCTCTTTCAACCTCATTGGGCAGGCAAGAGCGACATACGCCATTTGGCCAGCAAACCTACTGTGGAGACATCTTTGAGGCTTTGCCCCTTTTGGAATTCCAAGCCCACTTGCTGCACATTGGCATTTGAACAGGAGCAACAGAGAGCATTTCAGCTGTGGAAGGAGCATTGGAAAGAGAAAGAGCAGCGTTTGGAGGCGTTTTATTCTCAAATGGATGACTTTAGACTGTCTCCTTCGTACCAGCAAGCCTCCTTATTTAACAGGGAGCTTTTTGATACTGCTAAGCTACGCGTCGGCCGGATCATGCAAACCTACGGACTGTGCTTCGATACGCTACTGGAGTATGCTGCGGGCATGCTGTGCTTCCCTTGCCAGCCTCATTGGCATCACCAGGTCTTGATGTCCCAGTTTGCATCAGGCCCTAATCGAGTGGTGAGCTTGAAGATTTCGGAATACTCAAACGATGCACTCTGGGATAGCTGCAAGCCCTTGGCAGAAGCCGCGAAAGAGTTGGATCATCGTATTCAAGATTCTCTCTTGGCTAAAATGATTGAGGATGCCTATGTTGATTTTCACATGTTCTACGATCGCATTCGCATCTCGCAGTACATGGAACAGATTGGACGAGTCATTATGCGTGGCCCTAATGAGCTCACGATCAGGCACAGCCATCATGTGTCACCTCAGCTACCAGGCCTGAAGTCAGACAGGTCACGCTCACGTATTTTAAAGGCCGCTGAAGCCACAAACAAATCAAACACAAGCAGCCACAGGAACGATGAGATTAGTGGCCCTATCAATCCTATTCTGGATGGGCAACGATCTGGCTTTGAATACCGTGTGTTTCCACGACCAGATGTTGACGCCTTTGGCAAGCGGTGCTTTGTTGGTACATGGCTTGTCAGCTTCTTCATGTTGGAGATTTGAGCCACACTGCGACACCACGACACGTGGCAGGCTTGTTCAAAGAGCAACGACAAAGTGGGCCAAAATGAGTATTATGTGCGTCATTCTGACATTCTCTCAATGCGTCCACAAGCTTTTCAGAACTAGTCTCTTGAGCATGTGTCTTCAATTGCTATTTTGGATTCCTGCCTCTTGTCAGGTCAAGAATCCACAATTCCTCAGACAGGTACGTATCATCGTGAAGTTGGGTGGTACAGTGGTCCTCACAGCTTGTAAGCAGCCAGGGGATGTACGGTCGAACGACTTGCAAGGTGCTGCATGCTTTTGAAACAGCTGATGTTCGAGGTGCGGCCAGCTTTCGGCAAAGCGCTCAAGGAACTGCATGGACTCTGGACTCATCAAATAAATCAAAAAGAGCCAACGTGGATTCCTTGGGCAGTATCACTCAGTATCCCAAATAGGAGAATGAGACTCATGTAAAAACTTAAAGCATATTAATATATAAATAAATACCAAGCATGCTTACTACACCTGGTCTCTTGAAGAACCGTCGATGGGAATCCTTGGAACCACCTGCTCAAGTCCGGGCTTGTCGAACCAGAAATGGTGTCAAATTGAAAATACTTGAAATCTAAGTTGACACCATTTCGATTCTTTATAGCAAGAACCAAGATGCCGCTTTGACCAAAGTCCTCCCCAGAGACCCGTGAGGTGAAGGTCGCTTGCACATCAGCAACATCAAGGCACACGCCTGTCGCAGTTTCCTAGCTGAACGAAAAACGTGCGGGATTAGTCAAATGTGCCATAGTTGCTACGACGCTGCGATGCGCTTGGTTTCTGGAATCATTATCCTTCGTGTGTAGACTCTATAGACTCTAGAAGCTCACCCGCTCTTTTGAGATTTTTTTGCAAGCAGGATGCATGCATCACCATGTATCTATAGCTGGTTAGAAGCCTCACGATACACTGTACTGGTTGCTGCCTATAGATTAGATAGTAGTCTGTTTTCTTTGGACTTTATGGGCCCTTTGATGGGGCAAGGGATAGCAGCAGGTAGCATGCTTGACCACTCGCATACGAATCCGTAAATAATCAACTGTCGTGTGTCAGTCAACTACACAGGCAAGTTTCCTGAACTGCGATGAGCTGGTATCACAGGCCAGGCAGCATATGTTGTGATTTTCGCATGTTGCGGCAGAGGTGAAGCTGTTCAAAACAAAGGCGTGTGATCAGATGCTGATGCCCTCTCCTTGCTCGGTTTTCTTTTGGTTGCTAACTTGCTGTTGCAGAGAATTGGTGCGCTCGGTTCCTCGTTTCCAGTGTGCCTAGTTTGCACCGCAGAGGATCTTCCCGGCTCAGGTAGAGCTGGCGGCAAAAAATCCGGGTCAAAGTGAGGAGCGGGGAAAACACATGGGGCAGGGCTAAATTTGAGGTACTGTAGTTGTGCTGGAGTGCGCAACGTGTTGGTGCAAACATGATCAAACATGCTTCGATAGCAGCAACAACGACGGAGGACGAACAGCTTTGCAGTATTCATCCGCAGCCTTGGATGACAGTAAGCATACACACACACACACACACTTTCACCATCACATTGAATGTTCCCCTATCCACATCAATGCGTTATCAAAGTGCTGTTGTTTTTTTTCCCACTTTCCAGGAACTTGGGTACTACGATTTTGTCGCGTATTGATTTGGCCTTAGTGCATAAGCTCCTCCTTGTCCGTGTGGTGTTTGCAGAGGCCATTTTTGTCTCGTCACTTGAGCTGTTTGCCAATAATCAGATTTGGTATGATTTGGTATTCATTAAGTACGAATGACGCCTGTCACGTTTTTTGCACCAACTCTCTATGTCCTGATATCACTCACTACTGGATACGCTGGGCGAAGATCTTCGGATCCTCAAACATAGTCCGTGAAGCCATTGGAAGTTTGCCTAAACATGATTTGGAAGCTGTTTGAGTTCGCTTGAGCTTTGCTATCCTTGTGGGATTGTTCTCAGGATTGCACTTTTTAGGTGGCCTTTAAGGGAACCACACCTGCAGTCACTCGCTAAGGTTTGGGATATCGGCGATCATCGGTTAAGTTGAATTGGTGCGTTGCCCAAATCTTTAAACTCGAGAGGACAGGGTGTTGGAAAAGACATGCATGACAATGTGCGGTGCTGTGTCGTTTGCCACGACATGCTTTGCTTGCAACTCTCCTGTGGTTGGAGGCCATCGCTATCGCTCTTAGCTTAGAGGCCATCGCTAGTAGGTTGGATGCCATCGCTATTAGGTTGGAGGCCATTGTTATTAGGTTGGGAGGCCATTGGGATTAGGTTGGAGGCCATTGCTATTAGGTTGGAGGCCATTGCTATTCGGTTGGAGGCGATCGCTATTAGGTTGGAGGCCATTGCTGTTAGGTTGGAGGCCGCTGATAGACTGGAGGCCATTGCTATAGGTTCGAGGCCATTGCTATTTGGTTGGAGGCGATCGCCATCAGGTTGGAGGCCATTGCTTATTAGGTTGGAGGCCATTTCCTTTTGGTTGGAGGCGATTGCTATTGTGTTGGAGGCCATTGCTATTAGGTTGGAGGCCATTGCTAGTTGGTTGGAGGCGATGGCTATTAGGTTGGAGGCCAAAAGGTTGGAGG